TTTATATATATATATATATAAAGCCTTTGAAATTTTGAGGAGAATCGTTATACTTTCGGAATCAGCAGACAGCGAGAATAAATTCACTACCCTATCCTGATCATCGTAGTGATCAATAGGCATTATCCCTTCGGAAGCCACATTGACTGGATGCGCTAGTTTCAACTTATGTTGTCTCATAGCCCCATACTTAGGCAACATTTTGGTATGTCCCTTTGTTACTAAGTCATCCATCCTGTGTGATTCTTTTCGGACAAATCCTGGAGTCTTGAAAAGTCCTCCGGAGTCGGAATATTGGCCAGAACACGCCAGAGCTTCGACTTAATATCTATAAACCGACATAATTTATTCCTCTCCATATCCTAACTTTATCCTAACTTCAGAATGGAGGCCTTGTGAACAATCTCACGTACCCCATCTAAATCTGCAAGCATATGAATCACAGTGAACGGGCTACCAAAGTGAAACGTATTTTTGAACTGAAACCGGGTGAAATCAGTCTTCCAGAAAGATAAGAAACGGATCTGCAAGCTTATGAGGGAGATTCGGATATGGGATCCGAGTCATAGCAGCAAATCGTATAAAACAATTCAGAAATTGTGATATGGCGGAATTGTGATAAGAGGGTATGGAATAGATTGAGAGGTAAGGACAGAAACAGGAGGGATAGCACAACCGTTCGACGGAATGCAAATCAAGGGATTGACATGACTTGTTTCTGATGAATTAAAGCTTGGAGCTGAGCATGGCAAAACTCTCTGACGATGCCGGAGAAACGTGTGAGAATGTATCAAGTCAACGGTCCAATGTTGAAAGCAATAACTATTATATCACAAGGTGCTTCCAACCATATCGCCTTGACAACAAGATCAAGCTGCGAAAACGAGTTCAGACTGCTTCTACACATTGAAATGAAGTCAATAATATCTTGATTTTCATATCAAATTTATTTACATTTTACTCATTATTATGCATTATATATTAGTTCATGTTTGTTTCATCTTCCACAAATCTCATGGCCTGGCTTTCGTCTAATCTGATTAAATTAAACAGCTCCTACCTGAAAATGAGAGATACTGGCCGCCCCTCGTGATCCTTTGCCAGGACTGTGGCAGCTTCGGCTTCCGCGCGATTGTGGGCATACACATGTTCACCAACATCAAGAATATGTTGCTTCGAGATAAAGACGGTAAGTCTGTTGGTCTGGCCTCTTTTGCCGAGTCCAGCCGATTTGTCTTTTCATGAGATGTATTCACCCTATTTCATTTAAGGTGATGAAAGACTGGTAGTTGAATTTTCCCACAATCGTGTGAATAGAGCTGATGTTTTCAATTAAACTTCATATAGCCTTACTTTCCCAAAAGTCGTTCTCATCCAGGCTTCAGCGGACTACAGTTTCAACTTCGCCTCGGTCTTATCAACACCTCAGCGGGAGTCGAACCGTGACAGTTCAGCATACGAGCGTGACACGATAGCCAATCAGCCATATTTCCACCAGTGCCATTGGGTGATAGGGTAGATGTGAATTTCAAGGAAGGCCAGACCTTTATGGCATATCACATTCCTAGGTGGGATTGTCGATGAAGCCAACATATTTTTGCTATAAAAATGGGCTACATTAATTATTTTTCGTATATGCAGTAGATTGTTATAGCAAAAAACGTTTGCTTCATCGACAATCCCACCAAAGAATGTGCTATGGAAAAAAAGTTGGCCTACGACCCAACGGCACTGGTGGCAATGTGGCCGATTTGCTAGCGTGTCAAGCTCACATGCTGCATCGTCACGGTTCGACTCCCTCTGGAGGTGTTGATAAGACCGATGCCATGTCGAGACTGCATTCCACATTAGCCAAGACGCGAATAGGTTTTGGGGGAAGCATAGCTATGTGAAATTCAATTGAAAACATCAGCCTTACTCATATGATTGTGGAAAAATTCTACTATTAGTCCTTCGTCACCTTGAACAAAATAGGGTGAATACATCTCATACTACTGATTTACTGCTAGTCTCGAAACTGCTTTTTTACGAAAAATGAGCTGACTTTTGCCAAATGTGGCGCTTTTAAGTCGAGCCATGACGGGCCAGAAGGAACCAGATCTTGCGTCTCCCGACAGTTCCAGCGAATAGTTGGACCTGGCGGCATCAGGCGAAGCAATGTTCCCGCTGAGATCCGGAAATCTGGGCACAGCCAGCATGTGAAGTGAGGCTTGAGCCAGTTCAGCTTTTGGTTTGTCGCCAGCTTCGGCGACCAATTCCTGTTAGCTCGGGTGAACGTAAACTACCTGTTCTGGACCCCTTTTACTCTCGCCTCTTGCAGTGTCTACTTTTATTATCATTGAGTAATATGAGATGTATTCACCCAATTTCGTTTAAGGTGACGAAGGACTGGTAGAAGAAGAATTTTCC